TTTCTCTCTACCCTAGGGTAATAAAAAGAAAAATCGGAGTTGGTATGTTCTGCGTCAATTTTACTTTTTTTATGTTTCACTCTAATATTCTAGCTTGGAATGTCTGTGGTTTAATAATAAAACCAGTATTTCTTATTGTAAAAAAAAATTATTTATAAGAATCATGTTGAAAATAAGCCGTCTTTCTTTTATTTTTGATAGTTTCTCTACTAACAAGTTCAAACTTTTCAATAATGAATTAAGTGTGAATAACCTTGACATATTTAAGAATGATTGTATTTAGGTTAAATGGAATGTTAAGGTTCTTTCTTTTACCACTTTAGAAGTTAAATCTCCATGTTACTAAACTTCTTATAACAAGTTTTTTATTACTTTCATTTATATTAATAATAGTGTCATTATTAGAAAGAATTTTTTAGAATTATATTGCTTATCTTGTTGTTAATTTTAATGAGCATTGGCTTTTGTTGGGTGAATTTAATTGTATGATTAGAGTTGCTAAAAAAGTTGGTGGTCCACCACTTATTCTTTTGAAACTAACTAATTTTAATAATTGCATTCTAAATTCTAATATTTTTAATTATAAAATATTGGTCATCAGCTTAGGTATAATAATCAAATTAATAATCATTTTAGATGTATTCTTGATAGAGATTTTTGTAATGCTTCTTAGTTTGAATTTTCTAATTATTTTTTTATATAGTTTTGGATAATTTTACTTTTGATCATTCTTTTTTTTTTTTATATCTTTGGGTGTCTCTTATGTTTTGAAGCACAGATTTTTGTATAAGAATAATTGGAGTGGTTGTTCTAATTTTTTTGAAATTGTTCTTGATGCTTTGAACGTTGATGTTATAGGTGATCTTTTATTTACCCTTTGCAATAACTGAAGAATTACAAAGAAGCTTTTAAGCATTGAAATTGATACAATTCTAATTATCTTTCTAATTATATTAATATATTAAAAGGTAAATTTAATTTTTTATGAATAATTTGGATGTCAATCCTATTTGCAAAGATTTACTTAATCAACCGTTTTTAACCCACATAAACTCAACAATGCTTATTCTTGTAATTATCAATGGTTAAAACAAATGGCTAATTTTGATTGGTTATCTAAAGATGAAGATGGTGTAAACTTTCCTTATCAAAAGATTAGATTTAAAAATAATTCTACTTTTCTCTAAGAAATTTTAATTAATGATATTTACTTGGAACAACAAAAGGATATTGCTAAAGAAGATATTTCTTTTTTTCTAAGTATTTGCTTAATAATTATTTTGATATTATTTTCTTCATAATTGATAATTTTTTTATTAATATTGTTTTTCTTTGGATTAAGAAGCCTTAATAAAATACTTCTCCAACGAAGAAAATTCTTTTATAATTAAAAACCACTTGAACCTGATGATTCTACTTCAAAATTTTTAAAAAATTCTCGAAATATTATTGGGGTCGATAATATTCATGATATAAAATATTTTTGTAATACTAGCAAGCATCTCAATTGGGTCAAAGATATTGTTATTACCTTAATTCCCAAAAGGAACTGTGCTCAATCTTTAAATGAATTTCTTCCTATCTCTCTCTGTGTAATACATTGTATAAAGCCATTGCTAAGCTTTTAGTTGATATAATTAAACATATTCTTTGTGATAAAATTAATTTAATTTAGGCTATTTTAAATAAAGGGAGAGAAATTGCTAATAATATCATTTTGGCTAATGAGTTTTTTTATGGTTTTAACCAGGTTAATTTTGGTAAGAAATTTTGTTCTAAAATTGATTTATGTAAGACTTTTGATAAAGGCAATCAAAATTCTCTTTACAATAGAATGATCAAATTGGGTTTCCATGTTGGTTTTATTCATTGGATTAAAGCTTATACGACTAATCTTTACTTCTCAGTTACTATTAATGGTGAAATGAATGGTTACTTTACTTTTTCTTTTGGTTAAAGGCAATGTTTTCCCTTTTCACCTTATCTTTTAGATATTATTATGGATGTTATTTCCTCAATGTTAGATATTAAAAATAATTATATTGCACGATAAAGTTTTAATCAAACTAATAATCTAATATATATTCTAATGATCTTTTATTTTTTGGAGATGATGCTCCAAATGTTATGCATCATCTTGTTAATGTTTTGAATATATTCAGTCATGCTTCTACTCTAGATGTTCACCTTTTTAGTAATGCTATTTTTTTTAATCTAAGAATGTTGATCCTCCTGAAATATCAAAATTTTCCCTCCTAAAATATCAAAATTTCTTTGCTCTTCATTGGCCTAACCCCTCCAACGTTGGGTCTCGAGGCGCTGTTTTCACTCCCCCCCAT